CGCTTCCATTCAGTCTAGATGACAATGTGAAAACTATCGAAGAACGAATTAGCGAAAAAATAGGTGTGCCTGCCCACCAGTTAAGGGTAGGTTGTGTATATTTGCTGACTGTACTCTTTACTGTATTTTCATCTAGGTAATTCTATGTGGACACGCACTAGAAGAAAGCACGTTGATGAAAGATCTTTTACTGGGGCCAGCAACGTAAGTACACCCATTCAACTCATCGCTTCTAAGAAGTAGTGAACTGCTGCTTCCTCTTTGGATATTCATTCTGTTAGGCCATAAAGGTAGCAAATAAAATTTATGGCACTGCTTAAGGACATTGTTTAGGGCAAAGCTTAATTAGATCTTTGAACCGCTCAATAGTAGATGATTTTGTTTGACAACCGGTTCTTCCGTCACACAGCTAAGTGTTGATATTATAAACATGTAGAGGTACTAAAAGTTCGTGGTTCTTACTGACGTCTTTAATTGGGGCAAAAAAATGGGGAAAAAAGAAAGCTTGTAAAGTTAATCATTTCAAGTAGAGTTTTGGCATTTAAAAATGTTGCAAGGTTATACTTTTTTCCAAGTGCTTGAAGCAACTGCTTGAGTTTCAGTCCAGCACTTCCACTACAAGGTATAGCTGAGACGTATTTAAATGCTTTCCATTGAGCTTTCCTACTAGCCAAATGAAAGACCATTACCCTTTAGGCCGTTAAAATGTCGATGGCGTTTTTTTTAAGCTTCATCAGTCCTAATGTTTACTCTTAGATTTCTGGATACTCTTGAACTCCCGATGAAGTTTCGCTGAAGCTAAAAAGCTCGAATTTATTTAAAAATAAGGTCGTTCCTAATATAGGTTTCTTCAAAATTCAATACAGCACATAAATACTGGAATTATTTTCAATGGGAAGAATTCTTGACAGTACAACAAGAAGTTGTGCACAAGTGTCTCTTGGCACTAACAATATAAATCGTAATTTTTATCAATAGAGTTGAAAGCAAAAACTTTGAAGGTCGCTCATCGTTTTCGTGGAAAATCAACAACCTTCTGTATCTACAACCGAAAGAGCAATTAGGAATGTCCCATCCCATCCACCAGTAGCTCGCAATACTCCAGATATTGGATCTTTCTATGTTTGGTGCAAGTCATGTTGCGATATCAGAAGAGGTAAATTGCGAGTCTATTGTGGTGGATGCTCTTCTTCCGCAGTGCTGGTCAAAACAGAGCCGTCATGTTGGAGGGATGTCACCCGTAGGTAACTCTTCCCCTTTGGTCACAATCTTTGATTTTGTTGAGAATTCTTTTTTTTAGTCAACAAATTGAGGTGAATTGCGAAGATTGCAAGTCAGTGCAGTATGCAGTGTTCAAGTTCAAATGCGCCAAATGTAACGAGGTATTTCATCTCTCGAAAATAACTGCATAGCTGGATGCGCAGTCAAGACTTGTTTCGCAGTAGTTGGCACAATATATCAAACTTAGTTGATTTACAAATTTAGAAAGAGCAACAGGACTCTAGTTTAAGGTGTCTCAACAGGTATAATG